CGAGATCGAGGTCCAGTAGTAAAGCTCGATATAAATCAGACCGATCCTTCGCTTTCGAGTTTCGACCACGTTTTACTCTCTCTCTCTCTCTCTCTCTTTCTCACTCTCTTTTGGGTTATCTCTCGCGTTCATCCTTTTTCTTCCCTCCACAGTGGCCGACCTGTACGCTACGGACATGTAATTACGAGCCCTTGCAGAAGAACTTCCGGCTTCCGCCGCTTTTACCTCCCCCAAGCGTGATTACCTGACGATCCACGAGGAAAGGAACGCACGAAATGAAAACGAGACTTTAGACAGCGAGGGTATCGCCTCTTTGTAAATTCTCCAAAATTCTTTGTCTTGAAACATGAAGAATGGAGAATTATATTCTTCGATGGCGGGTATTAATTGTTATTTTTTTTTTGTTTAATTCGAGGGTTAATTCGAGGACTCGAAGATCTCGCAAGACGAGAAGGGATAGTTTGCATTTTAATTAATTTTTCTGTTTTAGAGATAGATACTTTTCGATTATTGGAATTGGTTCAGAAAAAATAGTATATAGGGGAAAAAACGTGAAAATTAAAGCTTTAAGAGCGATACGTAAATTAAATTAATTCGCTCTGGGGATTAATCTTTATTGTGTAGTCGAAAATATGTACTGCCTTTGTGTAAAAATTATTAAAACAACGTATTAAAAAAAATATACTATATTTCGAAGAATAAAATTATATATATATATATATATGAATGATAAATTTAAGCACAGTATATTATTAAACACGATATATTCATAAAAACACGTATAAAATATTCCTTAATTTACGTATATCCATTAAATCCAATTCCAACGTTTTCCATATTTTAATACCCATTTCATTCGAAATCAAAAATGTATCGCCGGAATAACGCGGGAAATCGAGCGATTAAACGCAACGTAATAACACACAAAGTCTCCAAAAAGGGAAGAGAATTACATATTCGTATCCTCCCCCCCCCCCCTTTAAGCGCTGTACCTGATTAATCCATCTAATGGAAAAATTGAGTAGAGACTTTGAAACACGAGCACGGGGGGTAACACGAGTTAAATATTCACGGGTACAGGGAGAAAAAGTATTTTCCCGGGCGAGTTTCGAGGGCTTTTACATTTCGATTAAAATTTTGTTCGGAATACCGGTGGATTTTCAACGAAATTTATATACATATACAGCCACCGTGTATACGTATATTTCTCGCGTATGCTCGCTGTATGAAATTGCCGAGCTTTCCGCGTGCTTATATCTTCGAATTCACGGCGTGGAACGTACACGGGCTTCCTGCGAAATCCGCCGGCTGGTGTACACCACGAAAATAAGAGAAAGAATCGGGGAGGGAAAATGGAGGAAACGGATCCGCTGGCGTGTTCTGCATGACTTCATCACGCGTGTGTCCTCTGCACGGTTCGAAACAACAAGAGGAAATATTTCGCCGCCGATACACCCATGAAAAATTCCCGCAATCGCGACGACAATGATAAAATCGTTTCGATTTTTTCTCCCTCTATCGTACTTGAAACGATCGTTATTCCATGCGGTTCTTCGATTTTATTATTAATATTTGTTACGAGTCTGTTTGGATTTGTTCTTTTATTTGATGTTTCATTTAATATTGGAATTGTTCCAAGTTTTATTTTATATATGTAATGATTGTAACTATAAAGTTATATGAAAAAATAAATAAATAGATAATCATTATTTTAAAAGTATTTTTGCATAATTATTATTATAATTATGATATTAATTATAATAATAATATATTGTAAGAATATTTGAGAGAAGAATAGAATTATTAATGTATTATATGTAAATATGTAATGCAATTTTGTATATATTAAATATTGCTTAAATAATTGAATTAATTTTTGATCAATAATATCCACTTTTCAATATCCTTATCTTTGGAACTATATTGATGTGCTAGTTTACATTTGATTATCATAATTCATATTTGACTGCACATGGTATCTAATAATTAAATATGCAAATTGATTGACTAATCATTATATGTTAATATTCCTACAATATCCTTGTATATGGATGATTTTCATAATTCTATTTCTCATATTTTTATTATGAATATGAATATTTTTCAAATATTTTAATAACTTATAAAAAGATTCGTCAAAATTGGATCTTTCGTAATTCTAGATTTAATTTCCCATAAATATTTGACAAAATGACATCTTTAACAATTCCAATTCCAATATTCCGGATGTTTTAACCCAATTCTTCTGAGGAGAATTTTACATAAAACTAAACTATGTTTCCAACTCTCTAACTTGGCACAGAATAAAATCACTACGATAAAATTCTAAAAATTTTACAAAAGCTTAAATCCAAAGGCAGATTTCTCTGTTTGCTCTGTCTTATCAAACGGAAGTCGGAAGCTTCTCATGGAAAGAAGTCGGGAATCGATAAATTGGTCGCTAATTACAGCCGAGGCAGACGAATTATTTGGTAGGAAATCGAAGGGATGTCGCGTTTTATTCTTCCGCTCGAACGACGATCTCATCCGACCGATTTTTAATCGAGCCAGCTCAGATTCATCACGCGTTCAGGAACATCAGAGTTTTCCTGAATATCCTTTTTCTCGATTTTCCTTCTATCTTTCACGTTCCTCGTTCACGCATTAGATTTTATCCGAGTAGAAAGATTCATCGATACAGATTCGTCCATTTTGTTATATTTTTTACTATTTTTCGATCGATCGGATATCTGTGATCACGGAAATGTTTAATTCCATGATGCAATCTGAAAATGGAAAAGAAGAATTAAAAAAAAGACGTAGGATTTTTTAAAAATTCTTTGATTTGTTATAAATTCTTGTTACCATTCATCGTTAAAATATTATGTATTTACATAAATGAATAAATAATTTTATCAGAGACAATGCCTTTCTCTCTTCTTTTTAATGTTATATATAATTATATTATTTATCGAATTATTTATAATAATTAAATTTATACTTGTTCAAACTGTATGGTTTAATAAAATTATATATTATACTCACGTGATAATTGTAATTTTTATTCTTGAATTTTTATTCTTATATTTATAGATTAATTTTATCAGTTTATAATATTTTCAATTTTTTTACATTCTTATTTATACGTATCTATAAAAAATCATTTTTCTAAATTTTTTCGGTGAGGAATTTTGTAATATTTTCTTATCACCAAACAGAATTTTTTTTTATTTTTCTAACACTGTTCAATATTGCAGAATGATACACTTTCGTTGATCCCTTCACTTTCAACAATTAAATATATCAGTTCTGAAATAGAACTTATTCTTTAATTGAGAATTTTTCTATAGAAAATATCTATAGTTTTGAAACTCTTCCAATAATTATTATCATTGAAAAAAGCTGAAATATTACGCAAAAAACATATAACACTTTCGCGCATTTACATAAATACCATATCATAAATACTCTAATAGAAAACACAGATAAACAATTTACACCTTTCCTCGGATAATCTCGAAAAATTCCTCCCTAAAGAGAAGGGAACAAAACCGGAATAACCAAGTAATCCACTTTCATCGCAAAAGCCGCCCCTATCCCATTCAAAATGTACACGTTTTTATTTAATAAAGCGATTCATCTCCCGAGGAAACAGTCTCTTGAATATTAAGAAGCCGCATCATTGGCAAAGCTACAAACCTCCCCAAGGAACAAAGAAGCAACTTATATATATATATATATACATGAATATCCGATTCCAAAACGATTCATGAATTGTTCAGGCGCGATTCTCAGTTTGGAGGATCAAGGATGTTGACTTTTCAACAGGGGTTGAAAGTGAGATTGATACACCGTTGATATTTTTCACATCTCTCAGGAAAAGAAAGAAGGTTGCAAACTCGATACGTGACCGGTGAACGAACGACCTTCGGATTTCGGAAAATCATCCTCCATTCTTTTTCCACCGCCTCTCTTCCGCTCTCTCTCTTAGCGTGTTAATCATACACGTTTCGTGTAATTTTTCACCGGATTAGAAGGGAACATCATCTTTTTACTTAATAACACTTAGATGAGATTCTTCTTCTACGAACTTCGTGTTATTTTGAGAAAATTTTTACGAATCGCTGCTGCGATTTTTTCTCGGCTTTCTTTTTTCAAAAAAATTTGATTTGATTTCTTTCGTTCTTTTTTCTCTTTGAAGCGTTGAGGAGAACATTGGCGAAATTTGGGTGGAAAAAAAGATTGTGTTAATAATTTAAATTAATTAGCGTTTTCGTTTCGTTCTTTGCTTAAATGCTGAGATAAAATTGTTGAGAGAATGTGGAGCTTTTGGCGAAAGTTATGGAAATTCTTCACCTTTTAATTTGGAGGAGTTTTTTTTCTTGTGATTTTTTTTTTTTTTTTTGGAACTTTCGTACGAATTGTAAGAATTTTCTTACTTTTCTGTCCTGTCCTTTTTCAAGGGGTAAATTGTCGAGCCCATGAAAAGAAAATTACCGAGAAGAAGAATGGATCCTTTGCTAGGGATGAAAATAAAAAGATTTTGAAATGGCGTTAAATGTACATTAAGCTCAGAAAATTGCTCCCTTACTTTCTAATTTCAACGGATCCCAACATATTTCTTTCTTCAACCCGATTTTTTTCTCTTTCTTTAATAGTCTATCAAGAGGTGATTATTAAAGACAGATAGAACTAAAGAACTATTCAAATTTTCATGCAATATCGTATTAAATTTTGAAATAACTTTTTAAACGTTCAACTGCTCTATCTTTTTTCTTTATTCGTTTGTTTTTCAATTTTCGAAGGATTCCAACTTTGCAAAGTTCTTTCTTCCTAAAGTATACCTTTAACCTTGTTATCACGAAAGGATGATAAAAAAGATAAAACTTTGGACAAGCGTTTTCAAATTTTTCAACCTAAAACGCGGTAATAATTTCACGTTCGTAATAATGAGCCATTTAATGATATAATTTATAGAAATGGCCAACTTTGCTCGACTTTGATTTCGCATGAAAGCTTACCACTGAGGAGAAATAATCCACAGGCCACCAGAGTTCTATGATCCGAATAACAATGTCCAATTAAAGCTGAAATTGTAGCGGCGAGGACTAGAGCCACAGCAGCTACTTGAAACGGTGCTGAGATCCTGAAATGAATTCGTGTGTACCATTAGTCAATTACAATTAAAACGAAAGTTACATAATTGCAAGGGAAATTATATTTAATTAAATATCCCCAATAATAATCATGTTACAAAATTTTTAAATTTCTTATATTATATTTGATTTTATAATTGTTTTTTTTTCTTTTTTTACATTTCACAATATTACGAGAAATATATAACAAAGCATGACAAATGATATAACATCATTTTTCTCTTTTTTTTTAACGAAAAATGGTAATAACAGAACTGTTAAATTATTACTACCGTTGAATTTTTCATTTTATCTGAAATTTCTCTCTTCAATTGTAAAATATTTTCATCGAAAACAATGTCGTGAATTATTATATACATCGCGTAGAAAATGACATCTCTTTAAAAAAAAAATTGAAAAATACGAATACAAATGATTGCGCGCTTTTAAATACAATCGATATTAATCGCACGAGCGAAACACTTTATTTACTTCAAAAACCTGTTTATTGATTTGGAACAATCCCTGTTGTAAATAGCGCGATGCACAATGGATATTGAAACGCGATATGAAACAAGCGACTACAATGGTTACTGTGTGATTGGTCGACAACGGCACACGTCGACGTTGGAATCTTGAACATCTATTGTCGCCACGTTCGCATATTTCACGTGGTCCGCGGCGGGAAGTGAAATCGGACATAGTTGTCGGCCGATTTATTTATTAGAGGCGAATCGCGTAAGAATAACGTTGCCATTTCCATCCAATTCGGTTCTACGAAAAAATTTTTCGCGATAATAATCTTTGATCGAATGAATGATTTCGATTTATTTTTTCTTTTCTTTTCTTTTCTTTCTTTTCTTTTCTTTTCTTTCTTTTCTTTTCTTTTATCTCGATCGTTCATGACAATTTTATTTTGTTTTGGCGAATCAAAGTCAATATAGGAAACGCGAAACTGTCACTTGATTACACGCTGTGGCAAATATCTCTTCTGTTTTTAATTTAATGAAATTTAATTTTGCTGATGTTTAATTCGCGCTGTTTCCATTAAGTGAATTAAATACAAACGTTAAGCTATCACTCGATTGCTTGAAGTTGGCGATGGAAATATATATCTGCGTTGTGAAGTTAAATAAAACAAGTTTTGTGTATTTGGGTTGAAGAAAATTAAAACGAATTTTTGTTAAATTAAAAGAAAAGACATTATTTTTCTTTTTTTTTTAAATAAAATTAATGTGTTAACGAGGTTATTACCACGTCTCGTGCATTTTTAATCGACCAATATTTTAATGAAAATTTTCTAACGCCTTTTCTTACAATATAGTTTATAAAAAATTAAATTTTATTAATTCTACACACAAATGCAAAGCATTATATAATAATCTTTGTGTTCTTCAAAGTTGTATACAAAAAGTTGACTTAAAAATGATGTGCAACACACGTTTAATTATATTTTTTTCAGAAACACAAGTAGCAACAGTAAGTAAAAGCGTTGACAGAACCTATCATTGATTGAGTGCACGTAGATCCAATTTGGACTGTCACTAAAAACACATAACAAGAATAACAAGAAAACCTTTCTTTTTACGCTAAATACCCTAAAACTATTAATTATAAATCGTACAAATAATTAAAATTAAAATATCGTTGTGAAAATAATTGGATTCTTTTATCTCAATAAACTATTAACAATTTTACCTAACTTATGCATTTTTAACATTATAATTGTAAAAAGATAAAAATCCAAATTAAATATCCATAATAATTCGATAATTCTAACACTAGTGAAAATACCGTACATTCTAAATTCATAAAGAAATAACAATAAAGATCGTCTCGATATTTTTTTAAAATAATTTGAAATTTTTCTATAAAATTTTTTTCGAAAAAGAAAAGAAAAAAATGAAATTTCCAAACGAAATAAGTCAATATTTGTTTCGCGCGAGAGATATCTCCTCTCGTGAAGCTCGACGCAATTCTTTAAATGCGATCCTATTAAGCGACGAACGGCATTAAAGACTGAAATCGCATTTGCATTATTAAGCGATCAATTCGACGCAGCTCGGATCTCTACGCCACACACCTGACGCTCTTTTTCGCCGCCAATATCGACCCATTAGCTGTTTATGGACAGTGAACGAGTGGTTGGGGGAAAAAAAAAGAAAAAAAAAAAAAAAAGAAAAAAATAGGAAAACGAAACACAGAGCAGGGATATTCCAATTTGAAACTCTTAATTGACCCATCCTGATTGCACACGTGGTATTCTTATCTTTAAACTTCTGCACATTGCACGCGACCTATTATTTCCGCTCGATTTCGTAAGATGATGCATTTAATAACCGAGTGCTCCTATCACGAGATTCTATCATTGAGTACCTGAGAACTTCATTTTTCATCCACTTTTATGTTTCTTTGAAATATTGTGGATTGTGAACTGATCTGAATGATTTTAAATTAAAAAATTTTTCATAATCCACCTTTTATTATCTTAACTTTTTCCTTTCTTCGAAGTAATCTGAATTGTGAATAATTATAAATTTTGTGTAATATTTCCGTAATTTTTAAATTAAAGTTATTTTCTATCCTTTGTCTTAGCTTTTCCCCTCTTTTACATGTCTCTTTGAAATAATCTGAATCGTAAAAATAATGAGAACGTTTACGAATAATTGTGATTCTAATTTTGTTAAATTTTTATGAAAATTGAAGTGTTCGTTGTTTCTTATTTTCATTTATATATCTCTATAATTTTATTATCAGTCAATAGTATTAGCAATTGTATTAACAGTGTAACATTTTTACAATTGCAAATTTCATATATGCAATCTATACGATATAAAATTGAAATATCCATATTTTCCTTCTTTTAACTAATTTAAACGTTTTCTATTTTTTCCATTGTGCCTTTGAAATATTCTTCATTGTACCGAATTGTAGAAAATGTTTTAACAATTGCAAATTTCGAATTTTTACATTTACGAATTAAATAAAATACGGAGATTAAATTATGCCCAATTTTATTTTATTTTATTTTATTTTATTTTTTTTCCTTTCACATTTAAGCAAGAACATTGAAGAGCTCGATGAATGTACGATGAATTCACTCTGTGTAACCGCAAATAACCAAAACTGTTTGTAAAAAAAAAAAGAAAAAATTTACCCCCTATTTCACTCTTTCAAACGGCTACAAACGATTCCAGCAAGGATCGCCAGGAGCTAACATTCGTAATCGCAGACGGTGAAAAAAAGCTCGTGAACGGAATTTCGCACCTCCGAACTTTTCCTGATCTCTCTTTCTCTCTCTCAATAAAAAAATACCAGCAAAAAAAAGAAATGAAATAAAACGAGAAAGCAAAGACACAGAAAATGATTCAACGAAAATAAGAAACAAATCATGTATCCATTCAATAAATATACATATTAAAGAAGAATAATATAACGATATATACATAAATACATAATACGTCACAAAAAAATGATCGATCCACGAAAAATTTCCAAAATTCTCCAAGCGAAAGTACGAAATCTAGCAAAAATCTAAGTTTTTTTATCGTCTATAAAGAATTGTGGAACGATTAATCATAAAAGTCTTCTAGTATAGTATATAAGTTTTCTAATATAATATATTAAGTGAGAATGATAAAGGAACAAGTTTTATAAATATTGTGAATATAAATAGACGATAATGGGTTTTCAAGTTCGCACAATTTTTATCTCTCTAATTTCAAACGACAAAATCGCGAATAAAATTTTAAAATAGAAGAAAGGAGAACTGTCTGTCCACAGTTTTTCAAAAGTTGTATGAAATTTTCGCGATATTGTCTCGCAATCGAATCGTTTGTCGCGGATGGTTGTCGTTCCAGATAAAATGGCCGGAGTGCAAGGGTGGCGGAGGGCCACAGCGTGTTAGGGTGTGGAGGGAGGAGCGAATTTCGATACAGCGACTGTAATACACGTATTCGTAGCTATCGGGGTAAATGGAGCATGCCGGGTAACGGCACATCTCGCTCTAAGGGGTGCTGCTTGCCGGGATACGCAATCAACTCCCTCCCTCTCTCCCTCCCTCCTCCTCCCTCCCCCCTCACCAGAAGCTCGAGTTTTGAACCGATGCTCGTTTCACGCGGGTCATGTCGATCAAAAATTATCCGGGGATCGAAAAAAAAATGATTGTTCCAATCGAAACATTTTTTCTCTTTTTTCTTTCTTTTTTTTTTTTTTTTTCAAAAAATGGAGAGGATCGGAATTTGAAGAATTTGAAAAATATTCGCTGCTCGTGGAAGAAGAATTCTTTTAAGCATGCGATTATACGCGATTTTTTTAAATGGCAATGATTGAGATCGTTATAATTTGATATTTGTGCAAAAAACTAGAGATTCTTTTAATCATAAGTGATATAATCGTCTCTGTAATGAAATAAATCTAATTAATATAAAATTTATTAATTAAACGACTATCGATATGTCATACTTTCTTCTTAGAATATTTTAAAGCATTTAAAATATGATGATTGGAATGAATGATGGTTAAATTCTTATGCATAAAACTAGGAAAAAATTTTATTAGTTATACCGACAACATTATTAATTCTCATTCAATCACGCGACACCGTGATTACGCGTTAATCAACCCCACGTCTCATAAACGTCGTTTATAATGGCTCATTCTTCGTCATTCACAATGGCTGCCACATCTCGCTATAATGACACCGACGAGGCGATTGCACGCCCGTTTCATCGTCAATCTATCCATCTAATAGCCAGCATTTATTCCACTTAATGATCCCTGTTAACAATCATCAATGTTCAACGTCCAATCGTCTCGTTCTCGTTTATCTTTCCTCGTTTCAAATGTTTTGAAAAAAATCTTATCCATCCGATCTGAAACGATTCTCTCTTTCATGAATTAATAAATGTATATAAATACATCGGCGAGAAAAATTTTCAATAACTGTATCTCTTTATATATTGATCAATCAAATCAAACATTTTACTTGAAAACCCATTATCGTCTATTT